AACATGGCATACGGGGACAGTGTGCATCTTAGAGAGGTCACAAATTCAGATGAATTCGTAATAATGGTAGCAGTTCTCTGCTCTTTTTTCTTGCATTTCAGAAACACTACTGCGCCTGTAACGCCCTGTATAGTGATATAAGCTTAGCAAGAAGCACATTCTGCCGATCAGCTAGCAATGCACGACCATGTATGAGTCTGTCATTTTTGTCCAAACGCCTTATAGTGCCATGTATTTGATGCATGGCCTGGAAATAATTTTGCTTCGAAAAGTGTCTAAATACTAAAAACTCGCATGCAAGGTTGTGCTGAACAGCCAATTGAGCAAAGGAGATAGACTGGAGACTTTCCTTTTATTGCTAAGAAACAAACGGTTCGATCATTTGCTTAGTTTTCATGAAATTCTCCCAATAAATCGTCTTTTTCATTTGATAATTATCTCAAAACATTTCATACGCAGACAGTATCCTGTAGAAATCAGAATAATAGCATATTTATTCATGAAATATTGTTATTATTATTCATGTCAATATTGTGAAAATTAGTCAATGTGAAGTATGTTTAATCAGTATGATGTGTTATCTTTGTATCAATTGCTTCCTGTTTAGAGTATTTTTTATGCTCATTCCTTAATGTCAATAACAACTTGTAAAATCCCTACACTTATATTTCTTTTTTAACATCAAAATGTTTATACTATTATTTAAAGATGGCAGCGCAATGCATTGTGAAAATTCTACACATTTGAATTCATTCTACACATTTTAATATGATGGGAACGTGAATATGCGAACCGAAGCGCATCTTTTCGCATGCTTCCGAAGATGTCCGAATGGAAACGTACACGTACGAACACCCTTACGATGTACAGCGTACATATACTGTTGAGAGCGATCTCCTATTCGCCATTACACGCAAGTTGACGTCGGCGGGCTTTCGTTCATATGTTAGGAGGCCTTTAGGTTAACCCGTCCATGTGCTTACTTTTCATGAATTTTTCCCAATATGTAATGTTTTACTCCCAGCCCTTCTAGCTCCATCTATATTCTATCCGATGTTCATTGGACAGGTCTCTCACTTATCTTAGCTTGTATTCGCGAATGCAAGTAACGCCTGTCGCAGTTACCGGATTAACCTACTATTTTATGGGTAACTCATTTAATTATGAATAATATACCTGCCACTTAATATATTTTGGGAGGTCTTAGATTGACAATCAATTAGATCTCTCCTCCAATCAAAAATGCATGAATTGCTAAGCTTTCATCTTAAGCTTGCATGTTACATGTAGCTGATTGCAAATCGTAATGAATTTTCAATATCAAGTCAGTTTCATATTTAAAAATCAAAACCAATGATGATATTGAACTGAATTGCACTTTTATATTTGTATTGTAAAAAATGTAACTAATGTAAAATGTGTCTCATAAGCTTAGGTAGGGCTGACTATTTTAGATAGGTGACACTTAAATAAATGAATGAATAAATAAATAAATACTATCAGCAATATGAATTTCTGATTTTTAAAACAACTAAAATGTGTGCAACAACAAAATCTGTGTTTTTTATTTATTTTTTCAATTCTGTAATATCGACAGTTCAGATACTAGAATAGTATTCACACATAGCTTGGCAAGGTGTATCCTTTTCCAGCCAATCCGAACACACTATTTCAAATAACTGCATGCTATTATATAACCAGCAATTCACCCAAGGTCACTCATTCTAGATTCTATTGAATTACTAATGAAACTCATAAGCTGAGGAGTTCACATTTGAGCAAAATTCTAGAAATAGTCTCATAGTGAATAACAAGCTATGTGCTTATGCAGGTTAAATGTTAAGTGTTGTATTGTTGCCATGGTGAGAATCCATGACACTGACTGACACAAATAGAGGTGACAAATTGACCCCTGCAAAAAGTTTACTGGAAAATATATTCTTTTAGGTCATTTCATATCTTTTTAGTGATATTGTATAAAATATTTTCCAATGTGTGAAAAGAATTTAAGCCCAATACTCAAAGCATTGTGGAATGACCATTCATTGAAGGTGTTGCTTTCCAAAATTTGCACGAGATTCGCCAGCATCGAGTGTTAATTCTAGTAAGCAACGCCTGAATTAATTAAAGGCTCTGCACTGCACTGAGTCCAGGGCTTGAATCCTTAAATAACAATACAAGTCGTCCGTGAAGTTCAAAAATGTCACATGTGCCTATGATTGATAATATATTACAGATGTAGAGCTATGAAAAGTATGAAAATAAATGAGTAAATTTTAACGATTGGCATTTTTAAAGTGTCTCAATGAGTACACATCATAAATCAACTATATTTATCAGGGTGTAACGTAGGTATTTTAGTACAGTACTACGCTACTTTAAATCGGTCTTCAGACCCTCCTTCTTCACCTACTTCTTTTTATCAACAACTGGAAGGCCGTCATCACCCTTAGATTCTTGAGAGCACATGTGAAACAAACAACTACATGCACGTTATCTTAAAGGGACAGACCGATTGTAAACGAGGTGAATTATACGAATTAAACATACATTGCATATTATTTAAATGATATAATAAAGGATATTATATAAGTGAAAACTATGAGCAAGTCAGCATTATATACCAAATATGAAATAAATAATATTAATCAAAAATTGCTTTTGTGACACATAAGTTCTGTATACTATTGAGAGTGCTTTGAACGAATCTGCACTTGTGGGGATTTAGAACAGTTTACATAATACATAGTGCGTAGAGCGTATAAATTCCAAATAATGTCCTTATTCCCTTATGGAGCATGCAATGAGTCGGCATCCTTATTGTGACTTAGTACTCTCTCCTCATGTCGTCATTTCTTAAGGTTGTCTTGATTTTCTAATCTGGAGCGCACATAGGATCCCCGAGGCAAAGCATAATATGTTTCCAATCACAGTGAGAACGAACGACCAATGTACGTTCGGTGCCCGTGCTGCGTACACTATTAGTCCTATCATCAAGAATACGGCTGCAAACAAAAGTACATTTAAAACTAAGCTGAGCGTTTACACAAGAAAGTGGGTATTACACTCAAGAATATATAGCTTAGTGACGGTCACTTCAGACAAATGTCCATCAGTGTGAACAACGATAACTGCTGTCTCCGTTGGCACTCAGTTTGTTCCAGTTAGTATGTACAAGAAGCTTCAGCAATCCTATTACAAATGGCTTATAGACTTATAGAGGCTAAAGAGATTCGGCAATTTTAACACAGATGTGTTTACATCAACATATGTAAAACATCATGACGAATCTTTTACACTGAAGATTGTGAAATTAAAATAAAGGCCAGGGAGATTGAAACTTATGAAATTCATGGGAAATAGAAAAGTTAAATCCTAGGCCAATTGACAACTCTCGGACTATGGGCCTTTGCTTGCCGCGATGAGACTCACCTCCTCCGAACGTCAAGGCGGCCATGGCTATAAGAGTTATATTCTTGAAGTGAAGGACACACATGTAGACGAGGACTGCTATCAGGGCGAATACCATTAATATCAAGCCAATAGTCACCATAGCTTGCACAGCTCTGAACCAAGGCTCTGAAAGATGAATCGTGTGACATTTGAAAACGAATCTATTAAATATACTTAATACGAAAGGAATGAAGTCCCGAGAATTAAGTAATACTTGTTTGGGTTACTTTTTGCTTAGTTTTCAAAAATCTCCGGTAAATGCAGTAAATGAGGTAAATGCAGTGCATTATTCCACTTTTCACTTAGATCGATAAATAATACCATCCCTTACTTACCGTCACTACTCAAGTCGTAATCAATTTGAGATAAGATATCAAGGTAATAACTGTATCACTCTAGTACTGACCGTGAAATTAAGGAAATATAACGATATCTCAGATAATGATTTATTCATTTGGAGTTATCCTTATTTTCGTATTTCCTCAGTAGACTACCTGATATGCAAATTAGACAATCTAAAAGAAACTTTGTTGGCTATAAACGTACAAATCAAAAAGGAAACATATATTATCATCACACGTATTGTTACTCAATAGATGTAAAAACAACTCTTAGTTAAAACCAGTTTTTCATTCCCGGCTATTCTCTAATTATTCACATTTTGATTTTGACACCATCCCCTAGCCTTGCCCAAGTCGGTCTCTTTTACTTATCTTGATTTCTATCATGACCGCCGGTAATAATTCAAGATCAGATAAGTAAAACAATACCGACTTTGGCAAGGCTAACCATCCCCAATCAACGGATATATAAGTCATTTCACATAACTCATCCTTAGACAAGTAAGAATTAATTATTGACAAATTGATTTATGGCGATCTAAAGATGTACTGTCTGATAGACGGGAAACCTTTAAAAACTTTTGATAATTGGAGGTGTGATTAATGTTCATATAATTATATATAGGAACTGTTAGATTCCTTTTCTTGTGTAAAATGATCGATTTGTCAATTTTGATAAAATTAACATTCAGCTGATGGTGAAAAGTACATTTAGTATTGCATGAGAGCTGCATATAAAGTTGTCTGAAGGTATTTCAACGCAACCAAAGTAATTTTGCAATATATCAAGGAGGATTGTCTCCCAGGATCGAAACTCGGTATGTTCCAACAATGAAAACGTCGAAATTGTTACGCGGTAAACACGATACAAATATATGTCATATTCCGCAACGAATGTGGCATATTCACTTGCGGTGTATGACAGATTCACCTGGGGTGTATGGCATACTCACTAACAAATGAGAACGTGATACGGAACTACGTAATTGTCAATTCCATCGATTGAACAAACGAGTAAAAGTTTATGAACTATTGAAATGATTACTGAATCATCAGTACAATGCATTGAATATATCAACTAATGCAGAAGTATCACTCAGCAATCTCACGTGGTAAACTTATTCAATAAATCCAATATTCATACATTACTACCCGAATCACTATCTTTCTTGGAAATCCAGCGTAGTTTAGCCATTTAGTTTAACATTTAGAGTTGATTCTGGCAACCAATCAAATTAAGGCTTTCTGTATCACGTTTTCACCTGCGGTATATGTCATACTCACCCGCGGTATATGGCATATTCTGCAAGTGAGTTTGACATATTCCGCAGGTGAATATCGGGTATTTACTGAAATTAATGTATCGCATATTCACTGCGGAATATCCCATACTCACCAGCGGAATATGCCATACACCGCAGGTGAGTATGGCATATTCACCCGTATCACAAATACCGCACAACCATGAATATATGCCATATTCCGCGTAACAGAAATGTCGTTATTTTCCGAAATTACAGCCGACTATAAATTTAAAAAAAGGTTCAAAAGGACCAACATCTCATCATTTCTTGTGATTTTTGGAATTTTTTGTTCTGAAAAAGACCAAAATTCACGTTTCAAATGTTGAAGTGAACAAAATGCCGGCTTTTTGAATTCGAATTTTTTATCACGACACGCCAATATACATGGGACAGAATATCGATGTTGCACTCTGGGAGCCAATCCTCCTCGGCAGTATATACAAAATATCAGATGAATGGACATTAGTTCTATTGACGAGCTGATACTGCATTTATCCCATGGTTACGTGGATATAGATCGAATCCACGTGATTCATGAAGATACACTCCCCTCCATAAGTTTGGCAACCCCAACTCCATCATTAGACGTGTTCAAGTCGCTTTATGTTTCAATTTTTATTTGAATAACCAGCGATTAGAATACGTATGATAAATGTGGAAATGTGACTTGACTTGATAAGATTTCTGGATATCTATTTCGTAAATGCTTCATCGAAAAATATTTTTCTATAGAGAATTTAATCTTTTTTGCAAAATTTATGTTTACATCGTAATTTCAATTTTCAATCACCATCACTTTCAAACTAGTTACCTTGAAATATCAAGACTTCATGCTATTTTCATACTTAGAACTTAATGTGACTCTCATTCACCATTTATTAAGCAGTAAAAAATAATTTGCTTCATGAGTGACAAAGTGTTTCTAGCTAGTTTCCAGGTGAATGTCGAGTCTCGCATCACACGAATGTAATTTTAGGCGATCAGTCTGCACGGGGTGATCCTTTAAATGTAAAAAATCAATTTATTAATACATACGGGTTTGAGGTCCTGTACAAACGCAGGATTCCCACAGTCCAATATAACTCGGCCGCATTATAGTCCATCCGGGACTGATGAATCCCATTACTATGGCAACCAGGGAAAGCCCAACGGTTCCTAGAATTCCCCCGACTAATCCTCGGAATCCGATGTCGTGAACAGTCGTTTCAGTTTGTACAGTCTTCATTTTTATTGTCTCTCTAGATCCTTGTTCCTCGAATATCTAATATATTTCACTATAAATAATGTATTATATGATTGCTAAATGAACTATGTATTCGTATACTACACGGTTAATTAAAATGTGTTCCCAAATTGATTAAAGATGATACTACCACTTGCGTGAGCTGACTTTTGAGCTTTCAAAGTTCAAACCCTCCCAATTATATTTTGAACATTGAAATTGAGTCAGCTCCTAAATATACCGCACACATAGTAGTATAAAAAATTTAGATTTGTATTTTCAGTTTTATCACTATTATAATATTTGATACAGATATAAGCGTACAAAGTTCAAGAGGAGTGATTAATTTATCAAATTAAAGTAATAATATTGTGTTAACACAATAAATGTCGCAAGATAAAAGTGTCCGTGCGGTCAGTTTAGAAATAAAGTTGTCAATCTGTGTAACCTAAGAACTTTGTGAATTTCAATTGCAAACAACTGTGTGCCCTGCTGTTGAACCCATCATGTGTTTAATAGATGATCTTCCAGGCCCCAATGTTATTACCGTCGATGGTACAGAAGGCGAATGACCAGTGTAATCCTGGATGATGGAATCCATAAGTGATGAAGCGGGACTCAATAAACACTGCGACATGATATGGATGAACAAAATAAATTAAGATTGGGCTATAATTTGTCATGTATAAGTTGTCAGTTTTTACAGCAGACTCTTGAGATAAATATTGCTTTTTTACTTAGTAGGCTAACCCCGACACCCCCAGCCCTCAAAAATTTCTCACGTACAAGGACATAGCCAGGTTCAAATAGTTTGGAAGGCAGCTACAAACAGGCAATGATAATGGTTTAAGGAGGTATATTACTATTTCATTTCCTCAGTTTTAGTTGAAAGAACGCCTGAATAAACATATTTCTGTAAAATTTAGGTGAAGCAGTTAAAATTTAAACGTCCTTATTTTCCTTTCTTTCTCTTAGTGTTTGCTAATTAGCTTTGAAATCTCGTTGAAGTCACGTTTTAGTGAGATTTCAGGAGATCTACATTTTTAAGTAATAAAAACCGTTATTTTCTTCTCTATATATAGGTTATTTCATGCTTGATTTTCAATATGAATTTCATTCCAGGGTAATATGATATTGGCCGAGGGAAATATGATATTGACCGAACGAACGTAGCGAGTGAGTGTCAATATAAGCTATTATCCTACACTTAGTGTACTAAATGTATAATAACATTAAAAAATAAATTTGATATTTATGGGCAAAATGAATATCCGGAGGATATCGTCACGATATACTCCGGGCGGAGGATATCGTGACGATATACTCCGGAAAACCCAAAATGCGGAGGATATTGTGACGATATACTCCGCTTGTTGATTTCCCGCCAAATTGACTCTATTTGGCATGAAATTCATTTTGCAATGATATTATACATTTAGTACACTCCTTGTAAGTGTAGGATAATAAGAACATCCTATGATTTTTTTCAGAATATGATTTTAATCTACTCGGTGATATTGATATATGCACTCGTTCGCTTCGCTCTCTTGTGCAGATATCAATATCACCTCGTAGATAAAAATGATATTCCTCAAAATCATAGGATATCCTATAAATATTTACCGAGGTCAATGTCATGTTTTCCGTGAAATAAAATCCATATTGAAAATCAACCATGAAATGTCCTTTTTATCCCATTAATTTTTGAGAATTCAAGGAAAAAGAAATATCAAAAAATTGAAAAATGAAAATTCTTGGAAAAAATGAAAATTTTGGGAAAAATCAAGGTTTTTTTTAAAAATGAAAAATTGGAAAAACTAATTTTTTGAAAAATGAACTTTTTTTAAAAAAAAATAGGGACAATATGATTTTTCGAGTATATATGATCTTAAGAGGGATAATATGATTTTTTCCAGGGACAATATGATTTTTCGAGTATATATGATTTTAATAGGGATAATATGATTTTATTTCCCAGGGAAAACAGTATCGGTCAATATCATATTTCCCTCGGTCAATATCATATTATCCTGGAATAAAATTCATATTGAAAATTAATCATGAAATAACCTTTATTTCCAGGATTTTTTAGGTAAAAAAGTGTTTTTTAGACATTGACAAAATTAATAAGCTTAAAACGTCCATTTACTCTTTTTAGGGCTCATACTTTTAAATGTTAAATCACAATTCATATATTAACAATATCCTATATAGTTACATGCCAAAACGTACTTGATAAATAACGAAATAAGGTGATTTTCTGATAGATTTCTGCCATTCTGGCCTTACCAACACCATTCTGCCATCTGTTCCTCCATCTCCATATATCGATATAGCAAATGGTTTATGAGTTCACTACATAACTATAACTATGTCACTCTAAGCTTGCATTCGCGAATACAACTAACGCCTATCGACTACCGG